TATCTGTTTTTCACACCTTCCGAGTTTTTTCAATTTTTCGACCGGAAAAAAGTTTAAGAAAACGCAAGGCACACATATTTTTGGCCGCCTTGAAATTCTCTATCGAATGGTGTATGAAAATCAAAAAAAGTTTTTTTTTACTTTATTTTTGCTTTGCGTGCATTTTAACATGTAAATAAATGAATAAAAAAAATGTACGTATGATGAGGAGACGTGTTTATCTGATAAATCGCTTTTGAACTCAGACGATGCATCAGGTCGACTCTAGTCGGATCTAAAACACCTCAAAAAGTATAAGTTCTCTGAGACCTTCTATCTAGAGTTATAGACATTGTATGGGAATTTTAGCTTCTAGCTTAGTATATAATCATACATCGAATGACAGTATTTTGACCTGAGATTTTTCTCAACGACATGTCTATTTGTCAGTAGAATGTTTCATTCCACAGATATTAAAGTTCTGAAAAACAGAAAATTCTAGCATCTTTCGTGTATACGTACATATATATGAATGGTTTTTGGAGCTTTAATATCTGAAGAATGAAAAGTTGTTTCGAGACGAAATTTTTGGAGCATTATACTGATAAAGTAGACTTGTTTGCAGGCAAACTCTCAGATCTATATACCTTCACTCGATTTATTGGGGTATACTCCGTGCCCGAAGCTAAAATTTCAGTAGAATGTTGTTAACTTTAGATAGAAGATCTAAGTAGATTTATCATTTTCAGATTTTTCATTCCTCACTGAAGTCTGCATGATGCACAGAGTCCGAATTCAAAAGCAATTGATCAATTGAAAACGTACCTTTGTGAGATTATTTGTTTTTTCTCAATTATTTTATTCAAGTTCCATTTTCTTTTGCTAACCTATTCTATTTAGGCGATGTTCTCGTCGTCGACTTGGCTTCTGGATTATTCTCGGAACTGCTTTAATTCTAGTTTCGGGTGCCATTATTACAGCTGTACTTATTACAACACTACGTCAGTGTTTCTTCTTTCTTATTAATTGCACGGTTTTTCGGAATAAATATCTATGTATAATAGGAGGACAAGCGACTGATATATCAATAACAACCACAACGACAAGTATGCCTTGTTTTTGACATTTTATCGAAAAATAGAACATATAGATATCTATACAGTGAGAGCCTCTCAATAGTAAATACTCTTCAGACTTTTCAAAAGTGTTCACTACAAGGAGGCTAGATCTTTTCTATAGAAGCAACGTTTTCTTTTTTGCAAGATGAGAGACATTTTCTAGCTATCTGAAGTGTCAGTGAATAAAAAAATTACCTATTGCTCATTGTCATTTCTCTTTTCATACATTTTTCTACTTGAAAAATTAACAATTGTTAAAATATAGTAACATTTCTCTATCGTGAACATCATTGAAACTTTTAAAGAATGTTTGCCGTAGAACTATATTATAGCGTCCACCACAGAAGGTTCATTTCCAACAAAACTCACTTCGTCGAACTGTGAAGTGTCTATAATACAGAATTGCCATTAAATGAGGTTCTACTGCATTTGTATGTAGTAAATTTTGATTAATAAGTCATGCATATGGTGAATCCATAGATAATATCGTTTCATTTTATGTCAATATAATTCATCCATATTCTATTTATACAACATTAAATTTTGTAGCTACTACTGCTACGACAACAACATCGACAACTTCAACGACATCGACAACTTCAACAACATCGACAACCTCAACAACATCGACAACTTCAACATCGACAACTTCAACGACATCGACAACTTCAACAACATCGACAACTTCAACATCGACAACTTCAACGACGTCGACAACTTCAACATCGTCGACAACTTCAACATCAACATCTTCAAAATCGTCGACCACATCGTCGTCGACTTCATCAACTTCAAGCACAGGTAGATTGTTTTTAAAAAATGTTTTGGTCTTCTCATTTTCATAAGTAACTGAAAATTTTTTTTACAAAATAAGAAAAAATTTTCAGTTATGCTAAATTAAACGCTGAACTTTATTGTGATGTTCTTTGTAGCAACGACAACTACTACGGCAAGCACGACAAGTACAAGTAAGTCTTTTGTTTAAGAGTGTCCTTTGGTATTTGTTGAAATTCATTACAGCATATTCCTGTTCTGCATCAGCACCTGCGTCTTTGGGTACATTCAATGGTGGTAGTGTGACAAATTGGACTCGATATGCATACAATTATACAGCTAATCAAACGGCTCCAATGCTTATATTTGGTGTGGATGCTTCCAGTGATTTTGGTATAATGATTGATGATGTATCTGTTGTTAGCAATGCTAATTCATCTGTTCAGTTACTCAATAATCCAAGTTTTGAAAATTCATCAACACTTGTTGGATGGAATAAATGGTGTTCAAGTACATGTACCAGTGGTATTGGAGGAACTGTAGTTAGTAGTAATTGTCGAACAATAGGCAATTGCTATAGAAGTGAATGCAGTGGTGGTGGTAGTAGAGACTATCTTATTCAACAGTTTTCAGCTGTTATTGGCCAAAGTTATACTATCTCATTTTGGTTTCAACGAGTAAGACTTACTAGTGGAAGCACTTCAGCAAAATTATATGTTGACATTATCTAATGCACAATACAAAATTCTAACATTAATAATATTATAAAACTCCAGTTTATCACATATTAACTGAGAAACACTTTCCTCATTTCTTTTTTTAAAAATTTCGCCATAATGTAAAACTGAATTTGCATCACAGAAAAAGCTTACTCGACAAAAAATAGAGTAAGCGACAAATTATAATCATGACTATTATTGAAAATTGTATAGAATTTTATTATAGTTTGACATCATACATAATATCATCATTGTTGTATTAGTGTACAGATTTTCTGTTATCTATTCACTTGGAGTTTTTTGTTTGACAGCAAGACAAATAACAAAAAACCAGTAATACTGAATAGTCACTTCATATCATCATTATGTTATACAATAGTAAATAAACAACGATGAAATAACATGAATAAAATTTTCCATTGCCCAGTCAGACAAAAATTTTGAAAAACGCGTTTAAACGCACAATCGGGAACCGCGACTGTGATCCATTAACGCTTATTAAAAAAACGCACGAAAACGCGTATATTGGCGTTTTTTGTAACTTTATGGGCGTTAAAACGGCGAAAATTCCAGTTTT